TAATCTTAGTGTTCTTCTTCCTTTTGGAAATGATGTAAGGCAGATTCACAGGATTTTCAATCAACTAGCCCCATATTATCAGAGTTTTTATAATGGATACCACCTGTGTAATAGTACCAGAATAGGGCATAATGTTTGCCCTAATTATATGTTGTACGGTTTAAAGTTCTCGAGGAAGTCCTAGGTTGCAGGCTTCCAATGTAATAACTCAAAAATTTAGTGCATGTAATTATATCTAAATTTTATATTGCATAGTTTAATTTTTTTAGCTCTAAAAATTAATTATAGAAATTCAGCAGATTGAATTATAGATAACTAAATTTATTGAAAAAAAAAAAGTTAGGAAGGATAAGAATTATAAGTCACATTGTATAATTCAAATTTTATCTCAATAATAATAATGATAACAATAAATAATAACAATAATATATATATATATATATATATATAAATGAAGAAAAGAATCGGGCTATAGACCCATTGTCTGCAACTTGACGAAAAGAAGAAAGAAACAAACAAAAATATGTAGCTTAACTTTTTATTATTTTGTATTTCATTATTAAAATTTTTATAACTAAAAATTATAATAAATTGAATCTTAAAAATTAATTAAATACCATTAATCTAATCAGTAAAAAGATATCAAGACACACCTTGAGTTACCATAAAAATCAATTAAATTATAGTAATTCTATTATTAACTTAATTGTTAGATTTTTTTTGCTATTTATATGTTAAATTATTAAAAATTAATTAATTAATTACAATTAAGTTGATTCATATGTGTTTTTTTAATATACATAATTAAAAGTATTAATTATACATGAAAATCACATCACTAAAGAAATTCAATTATTTTGAAAATGTATTAAAAATAAACTTAATAAATAAATATTGTAACGGCCCCGGAAATTAAAAGAAAATGTATAAATTTATTCTAAGTGCGGAAACGAAATAAAATAGATTATGATTAACATCCCTTATACAATAACCAAAACGAATTAAATGTATGAAACAATGAAGTAACTAAAGAAAATATTATGAATGAATATTATAAGGAAAATTAATAAATTCTTTGGCTTCTACTCGTCATCTTCCTGCAAAACGGGCTCGGGAACCAAGTCCTCCTGATCTGAAATAGTTAAGTAAGGAATGAGCTACACTAGCCCAGTAAAAACATCACATTATCTCACTGTCACAGAAGTAAAGGTTAGTAGAAAATAAAAACGACCAATGGAGCAAATTTATAACAAACTCATTTATTAATAATAAAAACATTTACTGTCCACTTACTTCGGTGAGATTCATGAAAATAACTTATGAGAAACCATAACATCATAAACATCATAAGATCATGCACACTTTGTAATATAACACATATCATACTTTTGTATTTCAATCATCAGACAACAAATTTTCTCTTTTATCAGCCTACTAATATCCATGGGGATCCATAGGGGGTCCCCGCTACACGTGAACCATTCACATTAATAACTTAATTCTAGGGCCGTCTCCATACCCGTCCCGGTATAGGCGCCAAAACCCATAAACTCAATACCACGTCTGGTATGAGGGTGAAACGGGTCGTCCCCATACCTCGTCCGGTATGGACGCCAAAACACATAAAATCTCCATACTCCGTCCGATATGAGAGATCACATTTCCGGTAGGATTTTCTATGGACCCGGTTCGTCCACAATCTCTCACGATATTTAGTTAGGTTGTCGACATTATCCATTTATCAATTTACATACCTTTTTTTATTTTTCTTAATCTCAATTATTCAATCAAACATAAATACGTAAACCAGTAATGGACACCAAACAAGGCAATACAATATCGAGTTCACAATAATTCAAACTATAATAAATGAAACCGTGATTCATGCATACGAAACTATAGAATAAACACATCCAAATTCTAACATCGATATAAGGTAGGTTGTTACAGGGTCACAGATGAGATGGTTGTTGAATGCTCTATAATTTAGGTTCAATTAGAAGGAAGGGCACGACGATAAATGTTGGGTGCTAGGTGGGAATGGAAATTTACATTGGGTGGCAACCACGTGTCATCTATGTGGCATCCACATGGATTAAAACAAATGATGTTATTGTTCTCACATACTGATATTTGACGATGTTAATTTTTTCTAATAGTAAAGGAGTGATTTGTACATTTTCAAAAGTTGAGAGTTGATTTAAACTCAAAAAAAGTTCAAGGTGTAATTTGAACATTTTTCGAAAATTGATGGTGAAATCAAATATTTTTCCCAGAATTCTCTTCTCTGTAGCAAGCTCCTCATCCCTCTTAAAGGGAACAAAAAATACTTACTACAAAGAGGAAGTTTGATGTGATATTGGAT